TATTTCTTTTGAAAGAGTCAGTACTCTGTACGAGTATTAAAATGATAAAGCATGCTATTTATTATTTAGCATCTACTCGTATTTCACGTTAGTGCTAAATAATTTTCTTTCGTGCGTGTTGCGGGTTAGGAATACTTACCTCATTAGGCCTAATTTAATTTATATAATATACTTTTTATTCGCTTTGGAAGCGTGAATTAATGCCGTATATCCGTACAAGCCCGCGATCATATGCGACAAGCGTAACCTGTTTCCGTGCGCAGTATCACGAAATTAATTGTGCGAACATTCATTACTTATACCAAATCATAGACACAACTGCTAACTATTAGGAAATCTATGCACGAATTTCTGTTCATATTTTTTAAACAAACTTGGCTTAGTCTGGGTAATTACGTATTATTAACATAACAACATTGTTTCCGCTTCATCAAACGTACACTGTAGTTTGATTACAATTAATTAAAGCTTAATTAGTACTAAAAAATAGCACTTGTTTTACTATACGCATGTATTTCGTAAACATCACGGTTTAAACTTAAAAGCCAACCGAACGCAAAGGTCAAAGGGAGGACAAGGTTGCCGCCGTTGGCCAAAACGAGGAAGCGAACGAAAAGGCCATTCATATACGACTAATACTCGTAAATGAGAGGCCTTCTGCACCTCCTCCTCCCCTTTGTTGATATAACAAATCCGTAAAGTTTTGTTCCATTTTCTGTTAATGGCTGGGTTGGTCGACATTGGTTGGATACAGTCGACAGATATGAAAGATCTGAAATTCTGATGTATCGTAACTTTATCAGCTGATTGGGATCATAGCAAGAAGCAACTGAACTGAAAAAGGAAAGAATTGTAGCTATAGAAACAGGATAGAAACAGCAGAAGCTGTTAACAGGAAACCAGAATTTAGGAATCTAAGAATCACGAAAACATATCGAAGTATCGCATCGTACATGCAAGTACACTTTGAACTTATACCAACACCACAGAACCTTATCAGCATCTTAGAATCTAAGAAAGATTCTCCTCGGTCTAATTATTGACCTAACCACGATGCTAATCTAAGCAATACCCTGTTTCTTACCGCTTTGTGGGAACATGAATTTTTGAATCTGTACAGTATCAGCTGACGTCCGTGCGGAGTATGCGCTATGCACTACAATACTAGCACACTGTGTATTGCGTTTGTGCAGTTTCCATTCAAACCATGACCAGTACGTAATTCTCTCTGTCTTTTTTTGCCCTTTGGTGGCAAATCTACAGGCTCAGCAATAATGCATGATTAGCTCGAATCTTGATATGACATTTTGAATTTGGGTTCATTTGCAGCGTCTTGCCGGTCTCGACACTCGACACTGATAGAATTTATCCAAGTGTTGTGAACGTTCTGTTGTAAACGTTCTGTTATGTACTTCCTATGATAAGCGGATGATTCCTTCAGGTCAATATGACTCGCCCTGGGGCGTGATGCCGCGGTACCACTACCGACCGCTGTTAGCTGATACCAACCAGATGAACTACCAGAACACGGTTAATGTTCGCAACGGTGACGACACGTGGTGGCTGGGATACATCCAAGACATCAAAGGCGACCAAGCACTCATTCACTTTGACTCTGCAAAGGTCACGGCGAAATGGATCCACATGGGAAGCGTCTGGCTGCTGCCGTTTTACTGGGAGACTAACATATATCGTTTCAGCTACAAGATCAGGGAATTACAACTACAACTACAAGTGGCACTGCGTGATGAAGACGGCGGACCGTTTCGCTTTCGACCGCCACAGTGCTGCATACATCCAGAAGCTGCAAAGACTCCTGTGAAATGTTTAGTATCACAACGCAACTGTTTGATCCTCCCGGCAACGACACCGTTGTCACCACATGGTCTGAAATGGTTCATAAGGTCAAGTTGCCGCTTACTGGCTGCCATCGGATCCGCCGTTACTGGAGCGTCGCACCGGTCGGCTTTACACCAAACACTTCATTCCTTTTCCCGGGGCGCAAATGATTCTCAGCGCAGCATCCGACAAATTCCGCATAATAAAACATCTGCGCGATGCTTTCAGACCGCCACCCGCATCCGTCTGGCCGTGTCCGCCTGATCGCTGTCGTTTTCACTTACGCGTCGAGCGGGAAGGTTGTATGTTTGTTACCGTGAGTTTCGCAAGTGACGCCGAAACTGCCCAGGCGACGGAGGTCACGTTGACGAAAGTACTGCAGAATCATTTAGCCAGTCGGACAAGTCTTCCGTCCATTCGAAATCGTTTTGTCCTGCTACAGGAAACCGATTAGTAGCTTAGTACTGTATGACAGTTTTTGGTGGTTCTTTGATTTAGTAGCGGACTTCGAGTGCGAGAAAAAATTGATCCTGCATTTGTGCTTCTGCTTGTACAGCATTAAGCATGCACATGTTGCTCCTGCTTATTGATGCGTTAAGTGCCACTTAACTCACCGTGAAACCACGATCTCACGTTTAACGCCGGATTACCACCAAACATATGAAATTTACTTCCACTGTCAATAATCGTGCCTGGAATTTTTGAAGTATCAATTATAGCGTTAGAAACCGAAAATTTTAAAATAAGCTCGATGAAATATGTGGTTGGAACTTTCAATGTAACTATCTAAGATTCAAACTGTCGTCTTGCTACAGGGCTGGAGAGCAATGCATATCTAACGAGCGCGCCTTTTTCTCCGCTGACGCCTTGGCGACATCTTAGCCCACCTGGATGTACACTCCCAAATGAGGGCCCAACGGTAACAGATATACTTGCAATCTTTAGCGTACGCAATGCTTGATCATCTATTTACTGATCCCTTTTGCGACAGGGTGTGCGCATTGTGGCAGCTCTTGCTGAGGAGTGCCCGCATGGTGGAGCACGTCAGCATCTCTTTTGAGAGTTGTTGGCAGCTGCAGTCCGACAGCGATAACTGCTTCAAAGCGGCCACTCTCTTGAGCCGCTACATCACTTCGAACACTATCAGTGTAACCGTGCTGCGATTCCTCCCGCCAAGTGACGTGGGTACCTTGTTCAAATGGCTTGAACACATGTTAGACGTCCACCAAACCCAGCTGCCATTTCTCTACAAGGACCACACTAGCCACAGACCGCAACCGATTCCTCGGTACCATGACGTGCCCTTTAAACATCCGGCTGCGCTCGAGACCTTGGTATGCAAATACCTGGTCGACACCATTGTACTGTACAACTGGACCGTAGGCGACCTGTTCGGCCCCGCAGCGTTCCAGGTATTTGAATGGGATCGCTATCCGGCCGCCCGATCCCTGCGCGAACTCGAGCAGGACCTGATGGTGCATCTAACGCGGGAGTCACACTATCCCGCGGCTGCTCCTGCGCTGCAGCGAAGGCCGAACGCGCATGAGCGCGCGCTTCATGCACGCTCTCAACGACAACTTTCCGCCCTTCACTGAGCACACGCTGGTCTATCCAGAGGATTGGGAGTCCATTCGAAATTACATTTCCCTATGAGTACGAAGAAAGGTTCACTCTCACGGCCGTTCTGTACCCTAATTTTCTTCTCGACTGCGGTACGGTCGCGCACTTGACTCGAACATAGCAATGGCCAATGAGTGAGTGCCGGTGAGCGGTATAAAATCCGTCTGCCGTGCTCTCTCTCCGTTCTCAGATTCTGGCCACCTGGTTACAACCGGCAGTCGCCACAAACCGGTTTATGTTTACGTGGTAAAATCACGTAATGTAGGAATCTCCATGTCTTAGAACACAGAGTTTGTGTACGGAAAACTAGCAATGTGTACTGCTTGTATAATGCATGGACATGCACGCGCAGCTCTTGTGCTGTACGCAGACTATGTGGTCGGAGATGTGGTATCCTCTATAGCGTCGGGCGCGGCGGTGTCCGACAGGAGAAAACGAGTGCGAACCGGGCGGAAGAGTGGAAAACGTCATTTTGTAAAATGCCGAGTTAGATGGAAAGGGTTCACGCAGCTGGTTAACACGCAGATTCGCACTTACTACCTATGCACGCATTTTAGGTTGAGCGGATTTAACTCAGACGGGTCACTGCGCGTGTGGGACGAGGTGGACTTGTGGCTGCTGGATGTTTCTACACTGAGCCGATTGGCAATATACGGCATTGACCAACTCTTCCGTGTTTGAGATGTTCTGCTTCATATTGCCAACGCCGATCTCGTTCGTTCAAGTTATCTTGACCGACTATTTCCGTACTAAACCAGGAGCCGGAATTTGATGGAGAAGATGACGAACGTACTCGTGTGAGTCGTGTCACCAAAAGGCATGTCACTGGAGGCTGTTTTCTCTGTTAATAAGATAACCTTGTTTTAAGACGAACGTACTCGTGTGAGTCGTGTCACCAAAAGGCATGTCACTGGAGGCTGTTTTCTCTGTTAGTAAGATAACCTTGTTTTAAGCTGACCTTTTAAGATATCATTTCTCCCTCTTTTAAAAAGTTCCTTGTTTTGAGTTTTGTTATGTGATGATGTCCTTGATACTACAGTAATGCGTATAATACCCATACAATAAAAACAGTATAAAAACAGCACTGTCCTGTCATTTTTCAAACTAATGCTTCTGGTACTCGTAGACAAAGTCATGGCTTGGAATCTCGCCAGTTTGTAGCACAATCTTCTCTCCGATCTTCTGGTAAAATGCCGGCGACTCATTCGCTGCCGCAGCATTTATCGCAACGCCAGCTTCCGCCATAGAACAAAACATTTGCATGGTACAGAAGGATTACATAATATTTAGGCTTCCGTTGTTCAACCCGATGCGAGCCAAATTTTTTTATACCAAAAAATACTACAAAAAACGAACTTCTGATTATGGTATGATTTGTATTGTGTACGGTTTGATAAGCAGTACAAGAGTAGCAGTTACAGCTGACAGGGGTAGCAATTCGGAAAGCACTTCATCTATAAATTGCCCCTTCGGTGCTGCAAGAGTACAAAGGTCTCTGTATATCAGAATAAATTTGGCAAATTTGTAAACCCGTGACAATCGCTGCTCCCATATTTTATTAGCTGGAAATCAATCAAATTAGCCGAAGCTAACAATTGTAAGCCAACTGCGAGATGTGCATTACTCGCATAATTAATAGTGTAGGATATCGAAGATAAAGCGACAAACTTCATTCCACTACTGCAAGCAAGCAATCTTCATCCATTAGCCTATTTAGCCATGACCACATTATTACCGAAATTTAATGGCGCGAACCAAATCTGCCGTGTTCGTCTAAGTAATAATCATTACTGCTGGTGGAGGTGGTCTGCACCGGACAGGTGCTGATGGCCCACTTGGTCCACGTGCCGCTCTTGAAAGTCCACGCGTTGCAGCCGGCGGTGACGACGGTAGCGTATGTAGCATTGCGCACATCCAGCGCGATAGCGCTGAGAATCGGGATCCCGTCGAAGTTATTAGAAGCTCCGTTGTAGCGGAACACATTACCTTTGCGAGAGATGGTCCAAATCTCTCCGTCTTCCCCGATACTAACCCATTTGCTATACTGAAACACTCGCTGGTTGCTACCGGCCACGAGGGTCCATGTAGGGATCAAGCCTGCTCCGTTGTATTTTCGGATATCTCCATCATTACTGTCCAGTGCAGACGGCCTCTGAATCTCCACAGCGGTGTTTTTGCTCATGGCGTTGACCTGCAAATGGTTTTATACATCCATTAAAACGCTACGCTTCTGCAACGATAGCGGCTAAAAAGAAAAATTTCCTTAATATTTGTGGTAGTTTTTCAGATCTCCGTTTACGTTATTTTTCTTGGGATATGCGGCGGTTTATGCCTCGAAAGCACAACGTACTACAAAATATTTTGGATGCTTCCCAAATAAATAAGACTGACTAATACTGCATTTCGTTTGAATTCGACACGAACACATATATGTACAGCATAAGCCTGACTATCCGGGCTAAATCTTCATTATTGTATCAGAAAGATACAGTATTCGTCACTAGTCAGTGTGCTTTAGTGAGGGAATATAATACACAGTAATACGCTCATTCGCGAACAGTAGCTTACTCTCACCTGCAGACAGCGACCACTATTGGAGAACTCCCAAGCATTGCTGGTTGGATTGAAGCGGTATGTTTGACCCGTCAGAGTGCACAAGTGATGCCATCCATCCGGACTAGCGCCCACACTAACGGCTTTGGCAGATCCCACGTCCCCATCATTGACAAGTGGCGTGGGTTCGGGCAATGCAACCCAGGCCCCGTTGTCGAGACGGTTGACGATGCCGGTGCGATCGATGGCCAGGAGTACGTTCCCTTTACCGGAAATGTAGGAGAAGTTACTCAGCGGGGCGCTCGGCGACGGGATCTGGCCAAGGACGCCGACTACACTGACGAAAAAAATCAGACCACCTTCCAGAATCATCGTTAGGAGGCAGCTGGTTTGACTGCTAAGAGAACTCCCTCTGATGCGCTGCGGTCGAAGAGTTACGAAGAAATGCCAGTGTGGAAAGTAAAGTAATTCAATACAAAGACCAGGATCAGCGGAGAAGCGGCTTAAATACGCGGCAACCTGCACAACAGCAGTTTGATGACAGCTACAAAAGCCGTTTAAAGCGAGCCGAAACTGCGGGATAAAAGTAAGGAATGCGCATATCATTACCAGGTACCTCAGGAAACAATTGCTAATTACTGCCAAGTTGTGCAATCCCTAACCGTTTTTACGAGGCTTCTATGATATCGTAAACCCTGGTTTCATAATAACAGACTCGTGAAACTGCCTTGCTTATTTACATATGACAACCTAAATTCTGCGTTGTGACTTACATAAACTCACGGGAGTAGGCTGTTTCCGCTTTTCACTGCCGAAAACAAAGCTGTGAATTCTTATTGATTTAACAAAGTTCTGCTGGCAATCGCCGGCCAACCACGTGTGGACAACCCACCGAATCGGTATCTCTGTAGTTTTTATGGCCATTCTGGCTAGACATACAAACGGTTTGTACCGCAATAACGGTGTCACGGCCGGCATTTAGGGAATTGTTTCTCTGCTCTAAGCAGCACTGCTCAGAGCAGCAGGGAAATAAGAAATGTGATATTTCTGTATGCTAAAATGCTAAAACGAAATATTCGATGTAGGAGAAACGCCCCTTAGACTGCATCGTAATGTGTGGTATTTTAGGAATCGGAGGTTTGCAGTTGGTCGTCGTTTTCCGGTGGCATCACCTTAAAGGAAGCACAATTTCAATCAGCTTATTAAATACATGTATATAGCAGCAAACATGTCAAAGTTTTACAGTTAGCATACTGTAATATCTGTACGTCACGTGGAGTAAAGTAATAATAGCATGTACAGTAATTCGACACGAACGTATGATACGTAAAACTATGTGTATTCATTCAAAATTAAATGAGGAAAAAGAAGTCCTTAACCTTTACGCACAAATAATTCTCAATTAGAAAATGCTTTTAATTTGTGGTCATAAATTACTTCGTGGTCACGCTGGTGTAGATGTTGATGGTGAGCGCCGATAAAACAACAATTATTTTATTGTTTGTGTGCGAGATTAACTGTATTCAATCCTTAATAAAAAGTAATTTGTAGGCAATAGTAAGTATTTTGAATAATATGGGGTTTTGTCAGTGTTTGTATACGTAGTAGCCGCAACCCTTTTTGGCGCAGTCATCATGTTGTTCTAATGAAATCGTAGTGTAATGGCGAAACCAAGTAATTAGTAAGGAAATGGTGGCTTTTGTTTTTATCTGAATATATACATTCCAGTATTTCCACAATACCTCACTGTTAGAATATTTTCGAATAAGTAATCCATACATTTGTATATTTGTGCAATCAGTTTTCTTCAAGGTTCTTTTGTCCGCCTCCAAAGCAGGCTTTTTTCATTTTCAACAACTGTATCCCCGTGGATCCGGAACGGATGTCCTTGATTTATTCATGCATCAATTTCATGATGATTGTACCACGACGCCGGAAGACACCCATCCTAGTAACGACGAAATACAACCGAAAAGACTTACAAAATTTCATTTCAGTTTTATTTAGGAGTAATAAAAGAAATTCAATCAATCTAAAGGAATCTAAACAGTTAAATGAGACAAAATTAAAATTACAGCCACATGTAGTACAAACTGATCGAGTATTTATTAAAAACAAGAAACACGGTGTATTTTTTAAAATTTTAAATAAATGTTTGTCTTTTTTATCGTTTCGGCTGGCTACCGCATGTACATTTTCATTTACATAATTATGTTGTTTCATATTTTAAATACTTTTACATATTCATTCACATATTTGTTTTTGTGGGGCAGATTAATAGAACGATGGTTGTATAGTAAGGTTTGTTTTTATTAATTGCGCTCCGTTAGCAATGTTTTTACGTTGGCCGAGCATAGGACTAATTTTACAACGCATTTTTCTTATACCTTCTCCTTTATGGCAAGTCTTCTGTTCTGATAAATGGATATCGTAGTGCAATGGCGCAATGTCATTCCGGCGTCGATCAGTCTTAGAGTCATTGGTAAAGATGTTCTACGTAAACTTCAAGACATCGTTTACCCGTGATTTTTTATTCATGAAATAAGCCGAGCATATCGGAGTATAAATTAATTTACTCGTGTTTATTTCACAGTGTTTGTGTTCAAACATTTTTGATGTTAATACGATTTTACTACAATTTTAGTCATATTTTTACTATAATTTTCTTTTCCGAGTTTTTTATCTTAGACTTTGATTAATACATTTTAAATAACTAATTTCTTATTAAATTCTTTTTTATTAATAATTTTAACAGCCAACGGGAATTTTGGTACGGTAATTAATTTTCTGCTTGTGTTGTTGTGTAAACTGTATAAAGTGAACGTTGATATGTGAATTTCAATACTGTACTTAATTGTTGCTGGATTTTTTACCTAAACGTTGACACATCGTTTAAATTTGTATTATTTTATTTTAAAAATGAAAAGAGTACAAGGAGAATTTAATTAACCTATGCGCACGTGTTTCTTCGTGAAGTCGATTTTAATATAATTATCTTTTTTTATTGTAATTTTCTCATATAGATATTTTCGGCTTCTGTACTCGTACACAATTAAGTAAATAAATCTGGTTTAATCTTGCTGCTGTTTCAGTAATTGCGAGATTTCAACGTTCCTCCAGGATCTGTTGTCGTTGAACAGAAAATGTTGACGCTGTAAGTACTGTAAATTCAGCACTGCAGTTACTGAGTGCAGTAACTGAAACAAAAGTAAAGTTATAATTCTATACAAAATTTCGTACAGCATACTTATGGTTAATAAGCAAAGAGTGAATCGGTCAGTTAAACGCTTGTACGTACAGTTTCACGTTGTGCCTGACCACCGGTAGTACGTCTCAACTGGTTTTTATCCGCCCCAGTATCACGTGCGCAGGCGCTCGTTGATTTCGCGGAAAATCCGTTATCTCTGATGCAGATCGCCACCATTCTACATCATGGCGCAGAAGGCCAACTCCTTTTTCAAGGGTCTGGAGGATTCCTTTCGGGATCTGTCGTTCGACTCCCCTTCCTCCATCGCGTCCCGTTCCCTCCTGGCCAGTTCCCCGCCGCAGCATTCTCTGGAATTCGGAACATGGGCCAATCCGTCTCCCAGTCCGACGCTGGAACGTGGCGTGCCCGTATTACCTCCTCCGCTGACTCCTCTGGGACGCTACAACCGTGGAATTCCCAACAGCTCCCGTGCAGCTCGAATGGCCATCCTGCGGGATTCCGGGAACAGTCATGTGGTCTGGAGCGGGACGCTACCACCGCGCAACTGTCGCACAAACTCGCCGTTCTCCTGCAAGGTAAAGATTGCTGATAAACTGTGCTGATATCTCAAAATCTCTGTAGTCTAATGCAGATCGGAGTAGCAGTAGTACGATGACGTAACCAGCCGCGTGATATATTTTAGCGTTCGCTTTGTACTTCCTCCTAATAAACTGTGCTCGAGACGTAAGAATTCTGTTCACCGTCGTAGTTTTGTTACGATGTGTACGGAAATTGTGCTGCTTCAAATACAGTCTGTACTTCAGATACCATTTCCTTGTTGTGGTTTTGCTCGATTGCGATGAACTGATGTTTACGTTCTTCTGTAACACAGTACACGTCATTTGTTTCAGGTATTTTTGGGTGGTGTGCCGTGGGATATCACGGAAACGGACTTGCAGAAAACGTTCGGAGTTTTTAGCCCACTGCGCGTGGAATGGCCGGGTGTGCACGACCACTCTTCAACGCAGCGTCCAAAAGGTGAGAAAAAATCAAAAATGTGCTGAGTATTATGAAAAATTACTTATAGGAGGAATGCGTAGAGTAGAAGGAATCGTAGAGGAATGCATGGTTATTTTATTAATGGGCTTTGCTGTTAAAATATAAATTTTAAATTCGAATGAATTTGCGTAGAGCGTCTAGTCATACCCGGTACATGCATGCATGCATGCATTCGGTTGTTTTGATTTTGTACAGAAATGTTTATTAAATTCTTATCTATCGTGAACGTCCAACATAGTTAGAGCAATTCGTAGAAGGTTGATTTTGGTCGAAGACTGGCAGAGAATTATCAGAATTATCATAATTTTCGGATTAAATCTGGCCTGCGATTCGGTCTTTATTGTATAATTTTGTGAAATCGTTTTGAATTATTTTTGACAATTTCGCGACAAGTATTCCATCATTTGTCACAGTTTGACAATCTGCTTTTTTTACAGGACATCTGTACCTGCTGTTTGAAGACGAGCGCTCCGTGAAGAAGCTGTTGGGCCGTACGTTGCTCCTACGACGTCCACCACAACCAGCACAACTGGTTCTACCGCGTGGCCAGTCCGCGGATGCTGGGCAAATCTGCGCTGGTCAGCCCGTGGCAGCTGGCCGATGCCACCTACGCGCTGCACGGTTACGTGCCCACTCCGGGCACACCCTACCGCATCTTCGTGGCCAATCTGCACGGGATGATTACGGCCGAGGGACTGGGGCGGATCATGAATGATTTGTTCGGCGGCGTCATCGCCGCCACACTGGACACTGGTAAGCATCATTCAAGAATAACGTAAAAAAAAATTATTCTGTGCAATGGTAAATGGCATAGGATCGGCGTAACGATATGCAGTTTTAATGAAGCTGGTTGTTGTAGTGCAGTGGCTACCTATCCACGGTTAGCTACGTTAATAGCGTACTAGTTTGCTAAATATACGTAATTTATTTCAACTTAATTTTTAAAAAAAGGCTATTATTAATTCCTCTCGTGTTTCATATCGGTAGGGTATGTCGGTAATTAAGGGTAAAAAATTAGCGTTAGCAGTGAACAACGTTTCTTTCGAGACAGATAAAACAGACAGAAAATTACTGTAAATTTTGAAAACGTTTTATTGACAGATAAGACGGAACACCCATTCGAATCGTGCCGCGTAACCTTCAACAACCCGACTGGCCACCTGAAAGCCATCACCGCGGAGACGCTAGAGATCCGGACGGCCAAGTTCACCTGCCAAATCAAGATCGATTCCTACCTGGAGGATGCCGTGTGCAGCACCTGGGGCGTGCAGCCCGGGCAGTATATAACGAAGGTTGATATCAGTCCAGTTTCAAGCAGTCTGGTCGTCGGTAATTCTGGAGGCTGCGCGGTTGGCGGTGGTGCGGGGCACGGTGGTGGGCAGTTTTGCCTTGTTGGTGATGTCGGCGTTGGTGGACAAGCTGGAGACGCGGGAGGGTGCGGAGGAGATGGTCGAGGAGGAGGCCGAAAAAAGCGAGGAGGAGGCCGACGAGGCGGCGGGACAGTGCCTCAAGCGATTCGCTTTCAATTGAGTAAGAATATCGTAAAATTTCCTGATATCGCTAAATTTTTAATTAATTTTTATTACAATTACGCTTTAATCTTCCATCTCGTTAAAATAAAAGCCGAAAAAGTTTGCTTCGATCTGATTTGGTAGGATTACAGTGAATTAAAAGAAAGTGTAGCAAATTTTATGCGGAAAACGTTTTTGCTTCAAATTTTCATTAACTTTTCTGTTTGTTTTTGACACCGGTGCACCACCGATTTCACCGATTTCCAACGTTGTGATTATTTCCTCACACCGGTGGAACCCGGTGCAATTTTTCCCAAAAGTCGCACCGAACAGATGTATATTTTAACCGAAAATTCACCGCGATTTTCTCGAATTTTACCGGTGCACCGTTGAAAATTTAATGTAACATTTATTGGCTGTTTCTCCGCAGGACAGCACTTGATTCCCCTTTACTTCCCGCAAATTGTGAACGTGAATTGGAACAGTTTTCCCAGGCCAGACGCGTTCACTATGCTTGGTTACCTTGGCGCCCATGATTTTGATGGAGTGATCGACTTGGGCGTCCCTCCTCGCTTCCATCGGGGGACTGCAGCGCAGGGTTGGGACGTTATTACGTTCCGTCTCCGCCCCGGCCAGACGCCGAAGAGACGTGCCGCCGGCCGCATCGAGTAAGTGCGAATTTTGGTACAAATTTCTATACAGTGTGCTGTGTGCACATAAAATTATAATAAAATTGTCCTTTTTAATCCTGATTTAAGAAATTACGTTCAAGTGGGCCACCTTGAATTATTTTTCTCCCAAACTGTTTCATATTTTTTTATGTAACGTTCTGAGCCTATGTTTAATTGTGGACTTATTGCATTTTCAGTGCATATCATCTCAGCTACCCGACCGGAGAAGAACACGCCCCCGTCCTTGTGTACACCGAAGATTGGTAAAAACCGAACAGATGTCGGCGCGATTGTCTTTTGAGATACATGGGGCAGTATGCTGGCGCACGGGAGTAACGGAAACCTAACTAAGCTTAATTTGTACTGAAAGTTAAATTTTATGTCTTCGATATTTTTTCGACAATTTGTTTTAGCTTGTTTGGCGATACGTGCCAGTGTTAAAAGCCCTTTGCAGATAAGTTTTGTAATGATCCCTGTTAATAATATTTACAAGAAACGGCTTCGGCATTTCTTGTGGTCTGCGGTCGGGTTCCTTGAATGATTTTGATTAATTTAGTATTGCTGCATTCACTATTTGCGATAACTATGAGCATTAAACAGTAGTGTTACTGTTACTTCAGTTCTCCACCACCTATCACGATTTGCGCTCAAGAAAATACGGTAATTTGGTTACTCGCTGTCTCAGTCGGCGCTGCGTACTGGACAGTACAGGACAGTGAAATTGGTCTCTCACTATGTGCAGTGAACAGTAGTGGTACTTCAGTTACTGACCACCACTCGTTTCGTTACGTACCAACCTAGCGAGCGGTACGCAATGATTATTTTCAGTAGGTCGGTCACCACTCGCCTACCGGTCTCTGTACACGAGAACAGTGACACTTCAGTCAATATGTGCAGTTCCAGAAGTGATAGCTCAGTTACTCGTTCGTCACCACTCGTTTGGTTGCTCACTCACTCTGTGCACTGGAGAGTAGCGGTAGTGCGGTTACCTATCGGGCTAGTAATTTGACACTCAATTTGTACACTAAATAGTAGTGATAGTTCGGTAATTCGTTGATTCAAACCCATGTGACCGTACCTCCGTGGCTGTAGTCTGCAAATGCATGGACACCCGTTTTTTTTTAAAAATGACAGTTGATTATGAAGCAGTTTTTATTATTCTAAACTGTTCTTTGAGTCGATGTACGTGACAGCGGTACTCTGCTGTATATTTCCAATGTGAACAGCCCTTTTTCATTGATTGTGAATTGTGATCATCAATACATTCTAAAAGTAGCCTTTATAATTCATTCCTGACGAGGATGCCGTTAAGGTGTTTTTTTTTTGTAGGGAATATAAATTTTCCGATCTGAGCAGTGCAATCGGTTTGGCATTTTCTAATCGGCCAGGGTCAAAAAGAGGGAGGAATTTTGAGAGGGAGGAATTTCTGCGTGGTCAAAAAGAGGGAGGAATTTCTGAAGGGAGGGAGGGAGGAATTTTATTATGTTAAAAAATAAGGGAGGAATTTTTTCGAAGTTCAAATGAAGTACTTAAGGACCTCGAACCCGGGTCCCCGAGGTCGCCACCGAGATTTTCTCATCAAGCTGCGAGCAGCCCGCGTTTCTAATTCAAGACATGTTGAGAGTTCGATGAAACGGAAGTACCAGTGACCTTAAGGTCGCCACGTGACCTTTGGGTCGCCACCGATTTTCATAGTGATTCCTATGCAGTTTGACATGTTGAGTCGAATTGAAGAACTCGGGGACCTCGAACTGGGTCCACGAGTTCGCCATCACGACATATACCATATATGCACAGTGTAATGTGCTGAGTCGAATTAAAGTACTCGGGGACCATCTAACCCGGGTCCTTGAGGTTGCCACCCCGATATGTAACATATATTCACGGTTTGCTATGCTCGGTCGAACTGAAGTGCTCCGGGACCTGGGAACCGCGCCCCTCGAATCTGTAGTTGTGTTTTTAACACATTTTTGAATATATTTTTGACTATTATAAAATTATGTCTTCTGATATTTCTGTACATATCTCTACAGTTTCTGAATATTTCTTCTAAATATTTCTAAATTTTTAAAAACTTATTAAATTTTTAGTTAACGGATGTCCAGATTTCTGGTTACAGTATCTGAATATATCTAAAAACTGAACTTCCACTCGTAAATGTTTTGCTTTTCATTACCTAAAAGTAAAAACCTTAATTCTTAAGCATCAAAAAGCTTTACAACTAAATACCTAAACAAGCAAGAATTTCTATTTTATATAAATTTCACTTTTTAATTTTTTTAATTGTTTAAAATGTTAAAAAGCTTAAACAACAAAATTACTTAACAGCTACATAGATAACTGAAACGTCAAACACCAGAATATCAATGTCGGTGGATTAGGATATACAAACATCAAAACAGCTAAAAACAAAGACATCTGAATAGTTCAATACAGATGCCAAATACCTTAGTTGTGTAGATACAATTCTCGAAATGCCTAAGTTTGAAGTAAGTAATAAGCCTGATCTCGATTTACCAATACGTACAACCATCTTTAAATCCATAAGAAGCCTTATTATCTGAAGTTAAATCTAAGTAGCTACCCAAAATTCATTTCAGCTATGGTCGGATACAACAGCTAAACGTAGGACGAATCTTATCTGAGGCGTTAATTTGGTTTTCAAAACTTTGATTATGCTGTGAAGTTATACAAGAAGATGTAATTCGTTTTTCCATAGTGCTTTAAAATAAATAAAAAAAACCGTGGTAAATTAGAGGCTGAACGTACAGTACGAGTACATGAGTGCGAACGCGGTTTTTGCGCGCATCAGCCGGTCGATGAGATTGCACGCGGAAGTGACGGAACCAAAGTTTTGGTATTCTTTCTAAGCATAAAAATATTCTTTATGACGACTGAAATTTGTTTAAGAACAAAACAAATTTCTATTTCATTTGTTTGGCGTAAAAACGGTTCACTTATGCGCATTTACATGTACGATTTTAACAAGGTGGTTTATAATGAGAATTTAGATCTGCAACTAAAAGCCCAATCTGCAAGGTCGAATCTGAAACTTCAGCGATTACGCCTCATACGGCTTTAGGGCAAGTGGACGGCGGTTTTTAATTTAAAATGTATAAAGCAACGAAAGCGTTAAGCATTAACACCCTATACTAGGAGATACTGTATGAGACATATTGTATGAGATTTCAATGAGTTTCAAAACAAACTGGCACATCACAAAGTCTCATTATGAAACATTGTGTCATGTGTAGTTGTGTTCCAATGTGTCATCCGCAGATAAAGGTAATGCGCTGTTGATTTGCTTTTAAAAATTAAAATATCGTGTTTCAAATATTTAATGCCGTTTTCAGCCAGACTTCATTTTTCCACTGCAGTTTTAGAATCCAAACGGTCATAAACTATAAAAAATTATATTAAAATATAATATGAATTTATGATCCAAAGCTTGCGGTAAACATAAAGAAATTTGATCTAAAAGTGGTGTTTGAATTTATCTTTACAGCAGCATTACATAAAGTAATTTGATTAGAACATAATCAGCAAGTATTAAAACGTAGTGGTTTTAGGTAAAGAAAATTCGGCATGCTGTGCACTTTGATACTTAAAGAATTTAGGTATTTTGAAGTGAAATGCCAGTTTTTAAAAACCTTGTTTTTTCAACCAGTTTTACATTTAGGGTAATTTATTTTTCAGATATTCTTAAACACTGTAATCGGAATTTGTACGTCTGCGTTTTACCTAATGCAAAATGGTAGAGCTGTTGAGAAGTAGAATTATTGAAAAATGTATGTAAAAATGTGATAAATGATTGAAAACGTGGAACATTTAAAATATTTTTTGAAATGTATCAAGAAATAATTGGATATATCTGAACCTTTCGAAAATACCACTAAGTATATTCAAAAATATCTAGAAATATATTTAAATATTTAAAAGTATATTTAAAAAAATGTATAATACAAAGAAAAAGTATTCATAGAAAAAATAAGATTTATTGAAAAAATAATGAGAAATACTTAGAATTATAACGAATATTTAGAAGTTTTGAGAAATATTGAAAAATTGTCGAGATAGGTACAGAAACATCAGAAAACTTAATTGTAGAGTAATCAAAAATACGTTCAGAAATGTGTTAAGACATATTTGCAGGTATATTTTAAATTATCGAAAAATATGTTGAAATGTAATCAGGAATATGTCGAAAAATATCTAAAATATTTAGAAATATATTTAGGAATAGGAAGAAATATAGTAAGAAATACTAATGAAAATATTTAGAAACATTCAGGAAGATTTAGAAATATTCCGGGTTTCTACGTCCTACAGCAGTAGTTTGATAAAGCAC